GTTTTTGGTCGGTCGAGAAGCTACGCGCTTCTTGAAGCCCGTTTAAACCACCAGCACAGAAGCTACGAATTCATATAACATTACAATGGAGAATTATTAATTTTAAATTTTATTAGCGAACAACTTGAATGAATGATTAATTACCTCCTTCAAACCCGCATTTCATCACGACACGCTGCCGGCTAGTTACTCCGAGGGCCACTTAAACAAGCGCAATTTAGCATCTGCTGCGTAAATAGCTTTGAGCTGTTTATATATCTCATACCTTAAAATTTGACCATAAAGCTTGAGGCATGAAACTGACTCCGTTACGATTCCTTCTTGGATTAACTCCGCATATAATTCCATCATTCTCAACGCTTTCTAGAATGGCCGCGATGAGCTGTTGCTTCAATGATCCTTTGCAATGTGGGTATGTTAAATTCTCCGCAATGTGAATATGCTTGGTGGACCGCTTTCCAAGGAGCGCCAGTGTCAGGTCTTCGATGTATTCAGGTCATCTGATCCGCAGGCTGTCTCGAAGTCGTCTTCGATGTAGTCTTGCTACAACAGTCTAGCTGTAAATCCATCAAGTGTCCTAATTATCATCTGTTTAAGTCATCGCAAACGTTGTCTCTCGTAGTGGAGAGATTTGGAGGACTGTTGTGTGCCTAAACCTGTTGTCAGCAGCGTTTATTTAGTGCCAGGTAGTTGGACTATCCACAAGCATAGCGCCGAACAACGCCAGCCATTTTTAGCTAGCGGGTAGCTGATTGACGGTGTTCTGACCCTTACGGTTTAGATTTGCAACGCTAGTCGGTAGAAGTTTACGCTTATAGTTCAGTCAGATGACCGCTTATCCTTTCGGGTCGAGAGGCGGACGCGCCATACAACGCTTACAGCGTTCGAGCCTCAGCAGAGGACAACCCGAGTCTGGGGCAGAGCCCTTGGACACACTTGTCGCAGATTATTGTCGGCCGTTCATGGGTCCTTTGGCCGGTCAAATTGGCATCTAATAGCTGTTTCACACTTGTTTTTAAAAGCATTTGTAAGATACCTCCAAACCATTCACACTCTGACCTTTCGATCTGGAGAAGTGGCTACTGTAAATGAAGACTCTCTCGGAATATCTGAACTTTGCGCCATGTCGAGACGCCCAGCGATTCGCCCAAGCAAACCCGTTTTAACCAATTGTACCCAAGATCGAACTCTTTTAATCACAGTCCACTACTAATGACCGTAGGTGAGCATTGGGACGAAGATCGACTTGAACACAGTCTTGAGACTCAGCTCTACCTTGGTCATAACGGTTGGGACCAGTTCACGCAGGACGTTGCTGGCCATTCCTGTTCGCCAGTCAGTGTCTTCCTCCCTTTTGCCAAAAACCATTTAACATGTTTCCGATGAACTCGAACTTCTGCACTTGTTCCACTGCTTCTACGCTTATTGTGTTCACGCGCAATGCTGGTCGTTTACGCAACCAGCAAACCTCTCTAGAGGGCACTGTAGATCAGTTTCAGAAGATGCAAGCCAAGCAAGATCGTCTGCAAACAGCTACCTTCTTGTCTTCACATCTCCTACAACGATACACTCATCGTCTCGGCTGTTCCTGACTATTCTATCCATGTAGAGCACAAACAGGAGAGGGGACAGGAAGCATCTCCAACGGAAACTAATGCCAATGCCAGAAATGTCTTGACTCTGCTGCCAGAAGGCGAGAAACAAATTCTGATCACTGATTACTGTTATAGATACCAAGTAACATAAGTCACTTAAGATATAATATTCAAAGCTGCTTGGTCGAAACTTGACAGTGAAGTGGCCTGAGCTGACGCCTTTCCATCTGTTACAACTGTCGCCGTCGAACGGTGGCAAATCGTTTTTATGACGAATGCGTAAGACAAGAAGAAACTTTCGTTTCGTGTACATTTATCACGTTTAAAGCATGGCTCTTTAGGTACAAGCATGCCTTGCTGCCTAGAGGGGCCGTTTGAGTAGGCCACGAACCATGGTATTTGAGCACCTGTAATGC